ATCGTGGCTTGGAACCTCAAAGAAACCCCCGAGTCACTTTGTAGGAGTTGGCTCAATCCCAACAGTGCAGGAGCCCAGAGAGCCACAGCTGGAGACAGAGAGGTGGAGGAGGCCGTGGTCCAGGGGCCCGAGCATGGCCTGGCCCCTCGCGGATCAGCATGCAGAGTGAGCCCTGCCAGGAGCCACACCCGGGCACTGTCCTCCCGGGGAGGGGCCCACACACCCTCACTGCAGTGCCCGCCATGGGTGGCCCCAGGCCTCCATCTGGGGCCACCTCGGGCAGTGGGGCCGGGAGAGCAGGGGAACAGGTGGGGGACGGCGGCCCTTTCTCCCACTCACCGGGGCCAGCACTGCCCTCAGCGGCCACTTCCTTGTGGCTGCCTGCAAAATAAAATGCTGGGGACTGAGTTCTCGTGCCAACACCAGAGCAGCGACAGAGGAGAGGAGGAAGGGATGGACTTGCCTTCGTTAAACCGGTCAGTGTTGGGCGCAGTGTCCCACGCCTGTACTCGCACAGCTCGGAGGCTGAGTCAGGAGGATTGCAAGTCCAAGGACAGCCTCAGCCATTTGGTGAGGCCCTGAACAACTTAGCAGGACCCTGTCTGGAAATGGGCTGGGATGTGGGTCCGTGGTGAAGCAGCCCTGGGTTAAATCCCTGGAACCAAGAAATGAACCACGAAGGAGGACACAGGAGAAGGGAGGAACTGCCCGTGTCGGCAGGCCGGGGAACAGCCGCTGAAAGCACAGGGCAGGGGCGTCCCCTCCCCCAGACAGCTGGGCTCACAGACGCTCCCCGGGGCAGGGGAGGCGGAGCAGCCGGCCGCTGGAGGGCCCGCACGTCCTCTGGAGACCAAGGCCAGCCTTCGCCTGCCCGGGCAGCCCACGAGAGGCCAAGCACAGTCCTTTGAGAGCGCACTTGGAGCAGCTTTGCTGAGGACAGGTCAACTAGAGGGCACTGGCTGGGCAGAGATGGCCCCCACAGAGGGCAGCTGGTGGGGAGGCACACCTTGGAAGCCCTGAGGCAGCATCAGGGAGAGGAGGCGGGCTCTGCCCTGTCCAGTAACTCTTCTCACAGAGCCCAGGAGGAGCAGAGCTGACCGTGGTGAGGAAGCAGAGGGCTTGTGGGTGGGCACTGACCGCAGCTGCTGCAGAGGACTTTCCGGAGCCTGGATGGGGTGGCCGCGACGTGGCGCCTTCCTGGGGGGCCGGCACGGGGCTCCTGGACTCGGGTGGGTGTCCACCCTGCATAAGGCTGACTTCCAGAGTCGTGGAACGAGGCCGTCTGCACGTCCCTGGTGTCCTGCCGTGGGGTTGGTCACGCAGGCACCCTCGAGGGCGGGCTTCATGCCAGTCCTGGCCCAGCGAGCAGACCCCAGAGCCAGGGTCAGCTGCGGCTGTGCGCCTGCTCCCGGTTTGGGCTTGCGGAGCTGTGGCTCTCGTCTCCAGGCAGATTCGGTGACCAGACAGGCGGCTGCGTCCCCAGGAAGTCCCCGGGGCTCCTCCCGCCTCTCACATTCATGGTCCAGGTGGTGAAGAGGGCACCCAGACCACCCGGCCCTCCGTCTTCGGCAAGACCCAGTCTTTTCGTTTGTCTAGACTGGGCTCTTTAGTTTGGTACCGGGGATTGGATCCAGGGTGCCTAACCATTGGGCTACATCTCCAGCCCATTTTAGTTTTTGCTTTGAGAGGAAGTCTCACTAAACTACTGAGGCTGACCTCCAACCTGAGATCCTCCTGCCTCAGCCTCTCGGGTTTCTGGGCTCACAGGCGTGCACCCCCAGGCCTGGCTGTAGGAGGAAGTCTTGACCGGGTCCAGGGTGAGATGTGCCCATTACTGGGTGGACCACCAACAGTCACACCTGGACTGAAGGACGGCAGGAGGAGGGTCTGGAGGTGGCCCCAGTCAGCAGGACAGAGAAGCCCTGGCGGCCCTCCCCTCGGGGAACATACCTCCAGGCTGCACTGTGTGGGTGTGGCCCAGGGCCAGCCTGACCCCCTTGAAGGCAGGGAAGTGCCCTGATGCCTGAGGTCAGCACCCGGCAGGCTCATCCTGGGCTGCAGAGCTGACCCGTGATGACCCCTGGCCGGGCGGCTGCTCACTCCTGCCAGCCACTGGGGAGCGTGACAGTGGCACAGGGGTGCAGCTGGCCACCTTCTGCTGGGCCCCTCGAGGTGCCCAGCAGTCCTGGTGGCAGAGATGCAGGGGCAGGACGGCCCAGCCAGCAGGAACCCCGTGGCCTGCCGCAGGAGCCAGTTCTGCTGTCCTCCGGCTCTCGGTCTTGCTAAGATCCTCTGCCCAACCTCTTCACCTCGGGCCCCGGAGAGGAGACGTGGGACTTCCCTGGACGGGGAGCTGGTGGCCGGGCGGTGCGGGCCTCAGAGCCTGGGAGGCAGAGGGCCTGGGAGGCAGAGGGGCACTGAGGCTGGAGGAGGACCCCTCGGGCTTGCGGAGACATCTTGGAGCGCCTGGCCCTGGCCAGGGGACCGGCCGGCTGGGGGCCTCCCGGGAGCAGGGCCTCAGAGGTGTCTGTCCAGGGAGCCCCTCCCCCACGGGCTCTTGTCACGAGAGGAGGCCCAGGGCCCAGGCACAAAGCCGCCTCTGTCCTAGAGATAAGTCCCAGGGCTGCCTCTGTTGTGCGGCCAGAGAGCAAAAATAGACCCAGAAGGGGCCGGGTGGGGCAGGCCAGCCTGCTGCCTGCCCCGGCCTTGAGCGGACATGCAGGTGGGGTCACCAGCCCGGCTGGCCCTACCCCCAAGCTGGGCTCCCCCTCGGGAGGCAGAAGGACCCGTCTGCATGTCCGTCCTCCCTGGAGTCCCGGGTGTGGCCACGGCCAGGGCTGGACCCTGAGGCTGCTGGCGAAGGCCCAGCTCCAGAGCCCCAGCACCCTTCGGAGCACTGCTGCTCCTGCCAGGGCTGTCACCCCCAGGCTTCCGAGGACACCCAGGGTCCCAGGCCACGCAGGCGGTGGGCCACGGCACCCGGAGCAGGGAGTGTGCTGCCGTCTCCGGGGCCAACCTGGGACATGCTGGCCACTTGGCCTAGGTCTGTCCACTCCCAGAATATCACGCCCTCAGTGAGGAACTCCTCTGGACACCTGAAGGCGGAGTCCACCTGCCCAACACTGCAGGAGGGGCACAGGGGCTCAGGACCGCTTCCCTGGGCACAGGGCTGCCTTGGAGGCGGAGGTGAATGGTCCAGGGGGTGAGACTCCAGCGAGCCCAGGCCCTGCCTGGAGGCCCAGGGAGAGGCCAAGCGCTCTGACCGCAGTGTGCCATGGCAGCCCTGCGAGAGTCAGGCCTGGGACAGCAGAGCTGGTCCTCCTGACCAGGAGGGCAGCGCGGTCAAGGGCGCACCGACGGGGCCCAGACGCGGTGGAAGCCAGGGCTATGCTCAGCCGCCCGCCCAGATGGGCTTTGGGGAAGCAGGGGCCCAATACGGGTGGCCGCTCACATGCTGGGCCCCCCCAGATCCCCAGGCCC